ACTGTCAATATGGTCATCCAGTTGAAGATACTTAAAATTTCTTTTTTGCTTGTAACAATTATCTTGGTATTAATATCATGTTGGTAATTTATTAGTCGACAATCATTTTTATCTTAAATGTTGAAGAGTCGTGTTTCTGATCTTCCCCGATACAAACGGCACTAGTGAAACGAAAATACCAGAAGGAATGGAATTTACAAGTAGTAGGCAACCGAGGCACGGGAAGTGACGAACATTAAAAAAGCAGAGTGTTATATGAATAGTGGACAGTGTTACTAGTGACGTCTGTGTCGGAGAAGATCACTACCACGATCGCTCTGACAATAAATATCTTCAAGCTATGCTCTCTCTCTCTCTCTCTCTCTCTCTGTCTTTTTTGAAAATATTTTTTTTTTTTATAATTGTATATATATATATTTTATTATGTTATTGGGAAAGGGCTTTACATAAGTTGGACAACTTGTGCCCAATCCCTTTTGTATATTAGATGCAAATAAAAATATGTTTAACTCGATCTATAGTATATGATCGTAAATTTCTCCAGGTACTATGAAAAAGGGAGAATATCAAAACAATAACATATCCATGATTCAAACTCAAAGTCGATAAAACAAGGCCAACATTTAACCTAAAAAAAATACAACAAGATCACGCGTTTCCGGATTAGTAATTGTCTTTTGCTTCTCCGTCAAATCTAGGACAAGTCGCAATATTTATTTGTATGTCTAACTAAAAAAGATTTCTCCTCAAAACGGCATGAGAGCCAGCATGTCTCCCGAAAAATGTATCACATTTTACCCCACGATTTCTCTATTTAATTATCAACAAAATGCAAAAATAAGATTGAAAAGACGCCTATAACCACGGATAATAACTTGTGAATAGCTTTGAGACGACCTACGAACTATATTGTTATAAAGCGGTATATAAGAACCTCAAGTTATTATTATTATTATATATAGATACAAAGCTGTATAATATAAAATGGTGAATTTAACTTCTGATAGTTATGTTAATTAGTTCTTTCAACACTTTATCAACATCACAATGTTTCTTATACATGCACGTGTACAGCTTCCATACGTTTAGTCGTTTACATTGTACATCAATTTTTTTTTGGTTATCAGAATCCGAAGCTCCAATAGGCAGAAAGTTCAAATTTAATTACTGTATGGTAGATAGAACGTCTGCTAGCCATGCCTGGAGATGCTATATTGAAAATGGTTGTAAAAATGGACGAAACTCATAAGAAGATTTGTACTGAACTGCTGAACAACATATTCGCGTTTGACCACAGGGACATGAGAATTTTTTGCAGGTATATTTGGACCTAAACTAAGGTGTTCAGAGTAATTTTACACGTGATTTATACTCGTATAAACCATCATTGGGGCGACATTTTTACCTAAAGTCGACCATTAAACATGCAACATTACTCCGAACACCTTAGTTTATGTCCAAACATCGCTGTAACAAATAATCAAGTCCCTGTGCTTTTAACGACATCCTTATATCGGAAGGACAGTGTATTATATACGGTTCACAATTCTGGGACAATCCCAAACAAACATACACCAAAATTCTAGGCGTTTTCCAACGTGGACTGGCAAAATGATCATAAATGTATTGTTTCCGAAAACTAACCCGTGAAGATATCATCGAAACGATGTTCGGAATTCAGAGAATCGCCACAGAAATCGACGAATGCAACTTTTATTCCTTCGTACTATTATCAATTTCCCGACACACAAGCTAAAGAAACAAATATTCTTGACACGTCGCTATCAATACATCGACAGACAGGCAAAACACCAACTGAAATTTATTCCGGGCATTTGAAAAATATTGTATAAATATGGTCTAAAAGGTTATCTTATGAACTATCTACGATACGTCCCGTCAAATTTTTACGATCGGCTATACAGAAAACGTTTTATTGAAAGAAAAGCTATATATGCGAATGTTGACGATTTCAGATACCGGGATATTCATGATACTTACTGTACTCCGTATTTGCTGGACAGTACTAAGGGAATCCACCAGATATGTTACAAAAATCTAAACTACAGCACCCGCATATGATGATCGGGGGTGGGGGGGGGGTAGTGTGTTTGATTTTGATCACTGTGCATAGGATTACGCCTTCTTGCTTCGCGCTAGGGGGAATTAATCTTTAGCTAAGCGGTAGAGCGTCCGACTAGGAAGTGTGTGATCGCGGGTTCGATCCCCGGCGGAAGCACGCTACTTTCCTCCTGTTCCACTTAATAGGGATCCATAACTGATGGATCTGAGAATGTGTTGTCATCTTTTTGTGAGTAAGAACTTCAACATGAAGATCAGGCAGCCATATTTGTTTTACATGTACTCTGGAAACTTGTTCTCCATTTTGAAAACGCATATTTCTCATGGCGAAATATCCTCTTACTAGGAGGAGGATCAACGGATAAACTCGCACAAGTTTCTTAAATGTTAAATCATATCCCTGGAGCCATTAATGGGATTTAACCCAAAGTGTAAAACGGTGTCATCGTCAGGTTGAAGGGAGATAACGCCTGGATGCATGGTAGCAAACATTACAATCGGGAACTGTCGGCACTTTCCGTAAACGGTTTACGGAAAGTGCCGACGGTTCCCGATTGTAAAACATTACTGAGTTTATCAATGCCATCTATCTTTCCATTTGATTTGATTAATAATTTTGTGTTTAGTTAATTAAAAAATAACAAACAAAGGCAATCTTTTTCCATTGAAAACAAACAATCGGGGTCTCCTTTAATAAAAAAATTAGTAGAAGAGACTCCGATTTTTTAATATTACAAGTAAAGCGATCCATGCCCCTGTGTGTATAACCTCCGTTTCGTATAGATTGTTTGGAAACGTCAACTGATTAAAAACTAGCAAATACTTGTATGTAATAGATGCAATGTAAACGCTGTCATGCATTGCATAATCTCGTGTCTGCTAGGTACACTGCACTTGTTACCTTAGCATGGGCTGGGCTCAGAATTCACCTGTATGCTAAATAATGTATAACATGCCGTCTCTGCGTTAAAAAATTACAACAAACAACTTTAGCCAGAGGTAAACAAAACCTGTTTAGATAATTACATCGACTATATCGATCTGGTCCTTTACACTCGTTCTACACACACCAATTACCTGCAATTTTTGTTTAGAAAACTCCATACATATTTTGATAATATAACACATGTGGAATATGATTCTAAACCATTAAATGGCATATAGGGTACTTATTATATCAAAATGACTAGTGTCTCGACTCTAAACCGCCGTTCAAAACAACTCACTAAACCACAATATGCTGATTCAGTAAATTAAGCTGTCAGCAAATAAAGAGACTTTGATAAAATTCATCTGTCTGGAAATATGTAATTTCAAAATTTTACTTCATACACAAAGAAACCGTACGTATTAAACGTGTTGCAACGTTTCAAGACGGACTGGTTACTGGCCAAATATTACACAATGGGCCTGACGGGTTATAGAGAAAAAAACTGTTTTAAAGTTGTTTTTAAATATTTGACAGCGTGGTCTTTGGAGTGGGCCAAACTTGATAGCACTTCATCCTAATATGTTACTGGTCATATATCGACCTCCTGGGCCTTTTTATTAATAAGAAAATGTCGCGTAAAGATTTTGACACATTCGACTCATGTGGCCTTGACAATGGGTCAAGGTAATTTATCCGTGCATACAGCTGGTCAAATATCATCGGCCTGCGGCTGTTCTTTGCTGAACAGAAGTCCGATTGAGGAAATGGTTGACGCCGGATGGATTACGGACGCGTCAATTTGACATTAGTTTACTTTTTTTTTGCCGTACCCTCGGCAGAGCCTCGGGTTAGACAACCAAGAAAACATCACCCCTCGGGTTGGGGATTTCTCTGTCACACCCTCAGGGGAGGGGAAGATTCTATTAGTCTTCAGTATAGACTGGATGGTATTTGGCTCGTTAGTAGCAATCAGGATTGAATTTGATATTCATACCTTACCAGTAGTCGTTCAGTTTGCTGTTGAATTCGTTTATGGATTCGCTACTCACCACGTCCTCGGATAAGCTGTTCACCAGTCGTTAAGCACTCGGACATTGTAACAGTTTTTTCGGCATGTCAATCTGACGTTTGGTTTTTGGAGTGTTTTGCTGTGCTCTAGTTCGTCCGGAGTTATTTGATATGAGTATTTGTTGATTGGAGAGTTTCTATGATCACTAACTGTTAGAACTATATTTTTTCTAATGTTAACTGAAACTCTTTCCATACCGGTAAGACACAATGGTAATGGGCGGGGGCGAGGTGTGGTCCAGTTTTAGGGGTTTATATCAACTTTCGATAAAAATGCCATATATGGCGGGGCCAAAATGGATATACCTTAGAAATGTTCCCGTGCTTGTTTGTGTCATGTTTACGTATAAATTTACTTAAGTTTACTTGACACGCGGCAATACTCCTTTGGTCTTCGGTCTGTTGACGTTCTGAATAGTCTTCCTGAGGAGGTCGTACAAGCAACCACCACAAGCAGGGAATTTTCGATTGGACTGGACAATTATTGTAATAAATTTGAACGAAAATTTAATCACTTGGCTGAACATAATTTCGTTAGCGGAAGTAGCAAATAATTTGTATAACAAATAATTAGTACGCAAATTGTAATATCACTGATATGCCTGTTCCATCAATTATCCTATTAAATCCAAGGCCTATTAAAGTTAAACTTTTACTTCCGCGTACTAGACTTGAACTAACTCGAATCTTAATGTCCAGCTCTGATATGGCCAGCGCTATCAATCATTAAGCCACAATCGTCGGTTTGACGGGTCAGATATTGCTCACGGGTGGCGAATATAATCATTTTAACCGTATTGACTTCAGGGCAATTCTCTTTACGTTGTTGGATATTGCAGGATTCAATCGCTAAACAACTTCGCACGCTGTGGCAAACGTCAGCAGACGCTAGCAGAGCATTATAGATGTTTGTTTTATTCTGATTGTGTTCTGAGGGTTATTGCGAACATGTAACAAACTGCCACAAAAGCGGGAACTATCTGTACGGACGTGTGGAGCTCGGGATATACAGAAGGTATGCATAGTTCTCTCTGTTCAACACAATTTTTAGTACATCTGTTGCAAATTAAATAAAACGACATGATTGCCATCAATGAAAAATGAAAACATGTAAATTATATAAGCTCACTTGTCCCAAGTTTATAGTATGGCACAGCGGCCGTCATCATCTTTCTGTCCGTGCACAGAGGTTCGTTACAAATGTCTGAAATACACATATGCTATACTAATACGGGTCACAGCACACATACGCATTGTGTATTTAAGACATTTGTAACGAACCCCCGTGGTCCGTGGGTTCAGCGCCAGTTTTTTTCTTGAAATAACTTCTTCCGAATAACCAAGAGACAAAGCTTATTACAATGTATGTTCACACGAGGTATCCCGTGTGTGTACGGCCAGGAGTTATTCGATTGGTGCGGAGCCAAGTCAGCTGAAATTATCTTGGGATCATATAGCAAATATATATTATTTTCTGTCACAGCGGTTGAAAAACGCAACTGAAACAAATGCAGTAAAAGAATGATTTTTACTTGTAACCTATGCAAAATATGAAATAGAAAATTGCTGATATTTTTTAATAATCCGCACTGCTTAATTAGAGATGAATTTTCGTCACTGTAAAGGACCAATCAGTTTATTGAAATATTATATCGTTTATACAGCCATACTCAATCAGTTTTCTGTGAATAATGTTTAAGTATTAAATCATCTGTATCTTAAACGCTTTAATTGCCAACTGAAAGTAAGGGAAAACCAAAATATTTCAGTTTTAAAACACAGTAGGATCTTATAAGAGGATCCCGGCAGTACGGAGCAACGGAGTCCAGCAGGTTGTTACGGTGTGAAATTGTGAAAAATAAAGACAAATTCAAACGATTTTTTTTATTAATTTTTGAAACATTTTAAACGATATACATTTTTATTTTTAACTGTTTCAGTATATTTTATAGGCCACTTGGTTCAAAGAAATTATAATTGATTTCAACTGATAACTAAAGTGTATACGCCTCAGGGACAATTTTATTACCTTATGACAATTATCTTCCTGTTGACCTTAAGCTAGTGACATACATACTTGCACAGGTGACTTTGAATATGAATATCTATCATTGATGTATAAGCTTTAAGCTATCTGTCATCTTTTCCAATTGTTCAGCGTTACGTAATATTTTATAATCAATCACACTTGCTATACCCAACAGTTAATGTGGACACCTAATTTTTGGTATCAGGGAAAATCCTGGAATTTGAGAGCAGTTGGCCATTTTCAGCAATTTTTTGGTCAACATCAAAATTAAAAGGGGCCATTCCATATAAAATTAAAAGAAATTCTGAATATGGAGAGGCCAATTTTAGTTTTGAGGGGCAAGGGCCCCATGACCCCCTCCAGGATTATCCCTGAGGTGTAAATTGAAGTATGAATTATTAGAAAATAGATACGACCGAGTCAGGTCTCCGACTCGAGAGGTTACAGTGTATTCCTCAGGGAAATGTAAGTACTATCTGTATACCACTTTGTTATATTGTACTTAATCTGTGGAATTCCTGAATACAACATAATCAATTGGAGCAACAACAATCAACAACAATCATCTCTGTGTCATCATTTCTTTTCGACCCCGACCATCCGACAACCCGACGATACTTATCGTCCTTACATTTGGTACCGAGTTAGCCGTCGTTCATTTCATCAATTAAATGGCATATGCCTAATATACATACATGCTAATATAACAAACAATAAAAATTGACGTACTTATACGCTAATATAGTATAACAAGACTTCAAACATTTCAAACAATCGTTCGAAGCCGTCGTTGATTCAGTCGGTACGGGATTTATGTATTTCATTTTTGAAGCGGCAAACTCTGTATTTGGGCTTACATTACTATTTACATTTTATATCACCCTTTTTGTATAATTTCAAATTATTTGGTACTGTGATATTTGCACATTTGTGTAATCGTCATATATCCTATTGATAAAGATTCTCAAAATATGTAAAAACCGGCATTTTCAAATAATATTGCTTTTGCGCCCCAGCGTACTTTGCTCCACACAACCCGGATTACTCCGTACCGTACCGATCGGGATACCCTGTGTGATGTTTAGTCCATATCATGCTGGGATGGGGGATTATCAAGTTTGTTCAAACGAATGACCTAGACCCACTTTCAAGGTAACATGGTTCAATGTGTTCAATGGTTTTCTGAATCACCAAGAGTGTAATAACTTGCAATAGTGTAATTTATTGTCTACGCAAAGGTTATGCAATCCAAGTATTTTCCACCTGTGATATTATAAACTTTGTTATAAGTGGTTTAAAATTAGTAAAACGAAGTAGCAATAGAGCTGCTTTTCCAGAACGATTTTCCATTTTATGGGTGCCGTGGTGGCCAAGTGGTAAAGGCGTCTGACATTCTGCTACCACTAGCCCTCCACCACTGGGCCGCAGGTTCGAGACCTACGTGGGGCAGTCGCCAGGTACTGGCCGCTGGTCGCTGGTTTTTACGGCTTTCCTCCACCATCAAAACCTGGTACGTACTTAAATGACCAAAGCTGTTAATAGAACATAAAACACAAACCAAACCAATCCTTTTTATGAATAAATATATCCGGGAACCCAGTATAACGCAATATTGAACACTCATTTGGGAGTAGTCATGAACTACGCATTTACAAATTATAACGAAGGAAGAACCACATAACTAAAATTGGAGGGGCTTTTCACAAAATGACTTAAGTTTGACATTTGGCTTTAAGGATTCTGGTAAATACATGATCATGTGACCCCCTCTATAAAGAAACCATCTGTTTAAGAGACCAATTTAATGTACCCCAGTTTAATTTTTATTTTTAAACGATTCCTTTTTGTTTAACGTCTTATGAACCGCCTCAGTCATTTAAGGACGTGCCTCCATGTGTGTACGTGTGATGGAGACGAATATTGTTGCTTATGCTTCTTTGCGCAAGCGCAGATCTGATGCCGACTTCAAAGTGCGACGTCACTGAAATGCCAAAAACACACAGCACAGTATTCCACCTAGTCACATCACACGGACAACGGGTAAAACAGTTGTTGTGATTACTCTAAATAATTAACCTTAAGCAGGAAGAACAGCAACCATTTTTAAGGACCATATTCCGGCCTGGGGAGAAAACCTGTTGCCTACCCCATTTGGGCAAACGTTCCAAAAGAGTGAGGTACTGGCAAGCAAGGAACTAGGAAACCAAAAAGTTGTCAGAAAGCAGAGAGATAATATTAAGATTCAATGTTGCCATGGGGGCAGCAGATCAGGGTTGGTTTCTTCAATGTCCCTCTAGCAGAAAAAAATGTAACAACGCCCCCGACTCCGCAGGGGGTCTTACATTAGTCGCCTTTTACAACATGCAGTTTGATACAGCAAGTCTGTTTTTACAAGTTCCTCTATAAGCAATGAAAAGCGTTCATAGAGCTATGAACGCAAATTTCGTGGTTTCCCGACAAAGCCCATTTCGTGGGTACACGAATTCGTGGATTATGAGAACCCACTTACTGAAATAACCGTAACACTTAGTGGCTGTGAAATCGGGCGTCGCTTCTCCGTAATTTTTAAAGAACAAGTATCAGCCGAGTGATTGGTCAGTGTTTTTTTTTACCTGACACTATAGCTATCCGCGTCCCTTCAATTTTGCAATGACATATTCCAGGGGAGTAGAGAGTGAAAGTGAGCGTAACCCCTGGATTTCGCGGATGAACAAGTCCTAAGTGGACAATGTGTTCATATGGTGTAGTATAAGGTTAACTTTGTTTGGCTTTTTGCATTGGTAAACAAAATTGTCCAATGAGTGCCGATAACTTCGTATTCGCAATGATTATTTGGGAACTGATATTGTTAGCGTGACATAGCAGAGGGAAATGCATAGTTATCTGCATTTTCCTTTTATTAATTAAAAATCGCTGTTTAAAGCGGTTGAGTTTTGATTAAAACAATAAATTCCCAACTGCTTCCTAACATTTATCAACCGTTGGTTGATGTAGAATAATATATCAGAAGTTTATATAAGTGCTCGAAAAAGAGTCTCGCATGTTACGGCGCAATTTCTCACCCCGACACGATCTCTCGCCCTGGTGAGACATCGTGTTAAAAGTGCTGCGGTCGCAACACGATTTCTCACCCTCACACGATTTCTCACCCGGCACGATTTCTCACCCAAACTCTCAATTAGGGATGGATTTTGTCCGTGGTGTCTTAAAACTTGCCTAAGTGTACATGTAATATATGAGCTGACAAGATTTCAAATGAGTAGTAGTTCAATGTACAACATGCCTTATATTTATTGGTTGATTTATCTATCAATCTATTTATTCATATCTTATTACATAATTTATTGCTTTTTACCGAAAGTCGATCTAAACCCCTAAAACATATACAAATTATTTTGTATGACCACTTGTTTCTATGCTATGACTATTGGACTAACATTTCAAGGTTTTAGCTGTATAAATAAATGCACTTCTGCTCTTTACAGCATATACAAGTATTTTTGTTATATAATGTTGTTTGAAACGTTTAACATGTAAGATTATAGGTACCTTTAAAGTAAGTCAAGTGTGCTGCAACCGTTCAAGGTATCTGCTGGTCAAATATTAAGACTACTTGGCACAGGTGGTACATAAAAATAGTTGATAGACTACTGAAGTACGATACCACAGCATAGCATTACAGACACTTCGAGGCAGGAGAGTAAAAATATTTGATAAACAATGAAATAAAATAACTTGTAACTAAATGAAAAGACCACAACAGGATCCGAGAAGAGACATATAAACAAACCAGTGTTAAAAAATTACCGAGACTGTGATAGGGTAGCAGAGTTCACATAGAAATGGCTTGACCCTAAAAATAAAGGGCATGTCTCGGATAAACATAGATAGCGGATTCATGCTGCATAACACATCTATATATATATATATATATATATATATATAACTACATTTTTTTTGGAAGAGTGATTTTTTTTTTAAAAAGTGATTTCCCCAGATTTGGGACTTGTGAAAACCATGGTTACCACATACAAAACGCCAAAAAAATGCAAAAAAAACCATTATTTTTAACCCAACATTTGACCCACGCAAGTAGTAATTTCTTTCTTAAAATCAGAACAGAAATTATTATAGCCTGAAATGACTTATAGGCCATGATTTAGATCTTTTCGGGAGCTTAACATCGAATATCATCAGTGACTATAGGTATTATGTAAAAGAGTGGATTAATTAGGTTGCCTTACAAGCGTCAGCTGTAGGGAATTCCCCTTTAACTTAGCGGTAGAGCATCGGGCTGGAGAGCCAAAGGTCGTGAGTTCGAGCGCCAGCGACGGCACCTATTTCACTTTTCCTCGTTCTAATAAAATTATATATAACTGCAGTACACCTCTTTTACTATGATATTTGTATTCCTCTGTAAAGCATGCATATACATTAAATCTGTGTATGTTGCATATCTTTGTATACCATTGTAAGTCAAAGGTGTTAGGATAAAATAAAACAAGAGGCCCAGAGGGCATTATCGCTCACATGGATAATAAAGCAAACAATCCCTCCAATGGTACAGACAAAGAAGTATTTTAGATTAAACCTCAAATTCCCCCATTGAGCCCCACAACTATGCATCCAAAGGGGCCACACCAATCATCTATACAAAATTAAGACCCCTTTGCCTGAGGATACTCCAGGCCAAATTCGGATAAAATCCCTCAAATGGTACATTAGGAGAAGAATTTTAAGGTTAAAACCTCAATTTCCCTTTTAAGCCCCGCCCCTTTGCACCCAAAGGGCCACACCCACCGTTGATACAAGATCAAGTCCTTTTTGCCTTATGATGCTCCAGACCAAATAAGGATAAAACCATCTTATCCATACGGAAGCAGCAGAGTTTTAAAGATTTTACCTCTATTTCCCCTATTGGGACCCGCCCCTCTCCACCCAGGGGGTCCAAACTCACCATTTTAACAGGATTGACTCCCATTGGCCCAATTATGCTTCAGACCAAATTGGGACGAAATTCCCTCAATTCCTGTGGTAGAAGAAGGATTTCAAATGTTTTACCTCTATTTCCACCATGTGGCCACATCCCTCTGCCCCCAGGGGCCACACCCAACGTTTATACAAAATTGAGCTCCCTTGGCCAAAGAAAGCTCCAGGCTGAATTGGGATGAAATCCCTTAATTCCTTTGGTAGAAGAAGGATTTCAAATGTTTTACCTTTATATCCCCTATTTGGCCCTGCTCATCTGCCCCCAGGGGGAAGGCACACCCACCGTTTATACATCTACAAAATTGAATCCCCTTGGCCCAAGGATTCCCCAGACCAAATTGGGATGAAATCCCTTTATCCCTTATGGTAAAAGAAGGATTTCAAAGAGGTTTTACCTATATTGACCCTATTGTCCCTCGCCCCTTTGCACCCAGGGAGTCCAAACCGACCAATTATCAAATTGAATGCCCTTGGCCAAAGGATGCTCCAGACCAAATTGAGATGAAATCCCATAATCCTCCCTATGGTAGAAGAAGGATTTGAAAGGTTTTACCTTTATTTCCTCTATTGGACCCCGCTTCTTTGCCCCCAGGGGCACACCCACCGTTTTTACAAAATCGAGTCCCTTGGCCTAAGGATGCTCCAGGCTGAAATAAGTCAAAATATACTAGGTCGTTCAGAACTAGTAGTATTTTAAAGGAAAATTTGACGGACGGACGGACGACGGACCCTACGGTATGACATTAGCTTCCAATGGTGTTTCGGTCCGGGTGAGCTAAAAATTGAAGTTTGAAAAAGTTTGAAGTTTGTTTAGTAGTAAACAAGCCCGGGTGAGAAATCGTGCAGAGGTGCGAAATCGTGTCGCGAATTCAGAAATTTTAGCACGATTTCTCACGTTTCGGGGTGAGAAATCGTGCCGTATCACTCGCATAAAAACATGAAACATAAAAAAAGCGAATTTTGATGTTAATTCAATCTGTAAAGTGTGAATAATACGAAACGTGCCACTACTGATAACTGTGGCCATCAAGGGTTCAGCATACCTCGGGGACTAACAAATTCACCAGCAGAGTCTAACATATTGTATCTTTAATGATAAACGCAGCACACACACTCACACACCAACACATACACAGGCGATTGCATACTGTATCAATTACCACGTTGTAAAGATGCAGTTACCTGTGTTTGTTACGGTGATATGTTTTACAAAGGTCATAACGTGTGAACAAGTCAAATGTTGCGAAACAACTGGAGTAGAAAAATATCGAAATCGATCCTCGTCTCCGTTGCAATACTCATAGGGCGTTGGAACCATGTACATTGTACTGTGTATCGTAAATTATTTTCTCATACTTTGCCTAAAATGGAAAAGTCCTTATATTTACAGTTTTTATGTGAATAGTCTATAACTTTTTAAAACGTCTGAATGATCAACTGACACAAACTATTCTGTTCAAAACAGGTTAACGTATGATCATTCAATAATAGAAACAGAAATTTGCAGAAATTTGCAGAAGCCTGGATTTACTCCGCCTACATGCATGTCCTTTGTATGACAAAAAAGCATTTCATATTAGCTGTTTGCAATTTTGAGATATTGCTTAGACATGTAATTGGGTAAGGTCAGTAGGAAATGGATTATATTTTTCAATTATTTACAGTATATTTATTTAGGATATCGGCTTCTCTTAAGTTTTACCGATAAATTACCTAAACACACGTCCGACCCCTCACTCAGGATTTACTTTTTAGAAGGACAATTTTAGCTAACAAAAAATAAAGCATATCAATGAGGACATATCTTGTTCATGGTTGTAGTTACAATATCGATTAATATATTTAATATAACGAGTTTTTTGTTTTTATCATTCTAATAACACGGCGTTTTTAAATTATTATTTTTATTTTTTTTATTTTCGGATCAGGAGCAACAAGGCTAATCACGAAACATATCCCTACTTTGTTCAGTGTCCAGATAGTTTCCCTTTCAGTCAGCCTTGTTGGCTTTGAGCTGATTCGTTATTTTATACTGTGTTTATATCTGTCATCATCCTTGACATAAGACGCTTTTACTTACAGTTTTGCTTGTTAATAGTAAGAACATGGGTACTAAACATACGAGAACTCCGCCGTTGTTTGTGTATACTCTATAGTAAGCCACATTGATTTTGTTTTAGATATCAGTGAGGTGAATTTGTTTTAGATATCAATGAGGTGAATTTGTTTTAGATATCAATGAGGTGAATTTGTTTTAGATATCAGTGAGGTTAATTTAAGAAACCACACTTCTATTCACCTGGTAGCTCAATTGGTAGGAGAGACGGTAGGACAGTCCGAGGTCCAGTGTTAAAATCCTGCTTTGAATCTACTGAAGTTTTGCATTCAGAATTTCAGATTTTATTTCATCGTTTTTATTTTATTCGTAATTTAAAACCCGGAACGTATGTGTTGCTTTACGGAAATGATTAATCAAAGCTAAAATCATGCAAGAATAAAACAGTTTCCAGTACATATTTGCAGTTGTTAACAGTGCTACGGGAAATCTTAAGGCGTATGTTTGCGGGCTATTATTTTCAATATCTAACGCCGTGCCAATGAACATTGTTTATGTAACCAAATGTCACTTATAGACAACAGTTTCATCAATGGCATTAGTTTACATTGTTTTTGATGCATGGTAACCAAGCAGTCTCCATCCTTCTTTGAAATGAGCTCTCACAAGTCTACATTGACATGTGTGCGGAAGAAATTTCTGAATGCTGAAGGTGATTATCGCCATAGTTTATAGCCACAAGTAGAACAATTCTTGACGATAGACAAAATCATCTTTGCGCCATTGAATAGCCATTATCTACGTCTTAGCTAGGTGCCATTGTTATCAAATGATTGTTATGTTTCAGGATGTTTATGTGGAAGAAGGCGTTACAACTAAGACACGTAGAGCGTTGCCTGTGACAGGAACTAAACAGAAGTTGTTGGGATCTATTTGAATGACTAGAGTCAAGTACGCTTATACACATAATGGCGTCAAATTCCAGTTTCAGCAGGTAAGGATAAAGTCCTACTTCATCATTGTCATGCAGGTAAACATTTTAGGACCCCAAGTACATGAATATCTGTCCACTGTTTAGGACTAATGTAACGATACTATATAACACACAGAGTAGCATGTGATATTACAGATTCTAAAATGTTGTCATCAGGACAGACGTGGAAACGAAGTGAACCTTGTACTGTGCACAGAAACACTTGAGTCTACGGAAAGAGGTCATGAAGTGGCTAAATCAAAAAGGATTTGTTTTTTAGGAGGGAGGAGATTCAGTATAGCATAGCGGGTTGTTTTTTGGTACAGTAGTAGTGTTGAGTGTGCATAAGATGTTGATGAGGAATTTTTGTCAAATGCTTTTGCGAATTCGAAGATAATATTAAATGACAAGAGGAAAAGTTGTTTCTTTTAAACTTAGCCTTGAACATTGGTGATGAGTTGAAGTTCGCAGATTCTAAACTATCGAAGATCATGTTGAATTTCGTTAAGGATTCTGTGAGGCTATTTGTTGCCAATGATACTACTATTAATGCAGTGGCCTGAACAAAAATAATCATTTAGATGTAGGAGAGACTGGTCGGTAAATTGCACCTGTGTGTCGGTCCAACAGAGAACTTTGGCGATATCTCTTTCAAAGTTCCAATTTTATGTGTTTTAGTTCATTCATAGATGGTCGGCTGGTCTGTAAATAGCAACTGTGTAAGTTTGAAAAATAGTATCATCTTAGCATGAATAATCTTTGACGCCAGTATTGAAAGAACGTTGTAAGAAATTAGTGACTTTGTGAGAATGTATGCCATCAAGTCGACTTCATTATCAGTGATTCTATTGGTGTTGCCATAAGGGCTTGTGAATGGGATTTGTCCAATGATCTCTGTTGGTGTTGCGTTAGCCATGAGGATTAGAACTTTGAACGGGATTACGCCAAAGGTGTCTGTTTTTGCTGATTTCGCTATAAGGGTTTTGAACTTGAAATGGGATGTCGCAAAGCGTCTCTGTTGGTGTTGCGTTCGTCATGAGGACTAGAACTTTGCATGGGATGTTGCCAAAGGTCTCTGTTTGTTTTGATATTGCCATAAGGGCTTAGCACTTTAAATTGGATGTCGCCAAGGGCCTCTGTTGGTGTTAATTTTGCCATGAGGGTTTTAAACTTTGAATGGGATGTCGCAAATGGTCTCTGTTTTTGTTGAATTTGTCATGAGGGTTTTCAACTTTGAAGAGATGTCGCCAAGGGTCTCTGTTGGTGTTGTTTTAGTCATTATGATTAGACCTTCGAATGGGATGACGCCAAAGGTGTCTGTTTTTTGTTGAGTTTGTCATAAGGGTTTTGAACTTTGAATGGGAAGTCGTCAAGGGTCTTTGTTGGTGTAGACTTTGTCATTAGGGCTTGGAACTTTGAGTGAGATGTTGCCAAATGTCCCTGTTGGTGAAGATATTGCCATACAGGCTTATTACTTTGAATGGAATGTCGCCAAGCGTTTCTGTTGGTATTGCGTTAGCCATGACGATTAGCACTTGGAATGGGATGTTTCCAAAGGTCTCTGTTGGTGGTTATTTAGCCGTTAGGACTATAACATTAAATGGGATGTCGCCGATGGTATCTATTGGTGTTACTTTTGTCATAGGGGCTTGCAACTTTGAATGGGATACGGCCAATGCTTATGATATCCTCCAGATAAGCGGAAAGGTAGTTTTTGCTATTCTCCCTGAGCGTTATTTCTAAATCATCATCCTTGTTTGACTTTCTAGCTTTGTTTTATGGACTGTTTTTCTTTGTACTGAAGTACTAGTAATAAATCAGAGTGTTTGCACACAGTTTGGTAAATCTGTTGCTGGTTAATTCGGTAGTAACATAATCTTTATATGTTTTTATTCAAGAAGTCAACGGTGCCATATGTTTTCCTCTGATATGATTTCATTGCCCAGTTGTTGGTTTCCAAATTTGACTTCTGGTAATCTTAGGATTGTCCATTTTATCCGGTTTCCACAAGTTAATGAGTCTATTAGGCTGCTTTATTCTTGCTTGACATCGTGTCTGTCTAAATAAGAACAGTAATATTGTCATCTTAGCATGGAAAGTGTTTTAATTTGTCGATACCAGAGTAACAAGTTTTGAAGAAAATATCTAGAATGCTGTTCTAGTAAGGAAGACAAATTTATGTTATAGTCTTAAATTTCAGATCATTTCAATGATTTTTGAATTCGCGTTGAATGAATAACGCCTTTGGTGTTTATTGAAGGAAGTGGTCATTGAATGTTTAGACAATGTAATCTCCTGCTACCAAGACGCTGACTCTTATGTTTAAGTATAGACATTAAGTGTCAAATTACTTTGTGTATGGTTACTTAACAAAGAAATTACCATATAACCTTTTCATCATTTCCAGGTTTCCGCTGATGACGATGTTGTTCAGTCTGTTTCTGATACTCGGAATAGCTCTGTACGTTGTATTGTACCAAGGAACAACAGTGATAAACTTGCACCCTCATATGCATGCGATAGGGAGTATGTTTATAGCACCGCCCCTTCCTAAACCAAAACCAGTGAAGCGTGTCACCTATTATAACAGACCATCGTGGATAAGCCGAAACGTGTTTGACACGTGTGACGACCGTTGCGAGATGATTTCGTCATCAAACTATAAAAATAGTGACGTAGTTGTGTTCCATGCGTCTGATATACATATGGGTACTCCTTTGAGGAAATACAGAGGACAAACTTGGGTGTTTCATGCTATGGAACCGCCGTTTCTCATTCCAAGTTTCAAAAATTGGAAACGGTTATTCAACTGGACACTTAGCTACAGACGAGATGCCGACATTTTTAATCCATATAGTACTTTTACACGTAGAACAGACGTAGGGAATAAGGATACACAGCATATTATTAGGTGGGAGAATAAAACTAGGAATATTGGATGGATAGTTTCACATTGTGGAATTGAAAGTCAAAGACTAAAATACGGAGTAAAACTTAAACAAACTATTGATGTTGATACATTTGGCCGTTGCGGGAAACTTCACTGCCCGAGAGGCCAATGGCAAGAGTGTCTCGAAAAGTATAAATTCTATGCATCGTTTGAAAATTCTTTATGCATAGACTACATAACGGAAAAGAGCTTCCGGGTATTCGAACGGAACATAGATTCAATACCTGTTACCCGTGGTGCTCCTGACTATTCTATGTTCCTCCCCCCAGGATCTTTCGTAAACACTAGAAACTTCTCATCAACTAGCAATTTAGGTAATTTTTTAAAAAGGTTGTCAGATGACAAACTTACGTTTATGACATATTTCAAGTGGCGTCAGTACTACAAAGCTGAAGATCAGATAGACAGTAAGATGGGTTTTTGTGAATTATGTAGGAGATTACATAATCCTACACAGAAATATAGACGACTGTATGAGGATATTGATGAGTGGGTAAGACAGGGAGCATTACCTCGACGTTCTTGTAGACCTGTTGTAGACATAATATAATGTTGTTCTGGCCTTCTTTGATTATTGTGTATTAGTCAGGGGCGTTGAAAATTTAGTTTCATTCAGGAACGAAGACTTTTGTGTATCGATCAGCGGCGATGATATTTGTGGGGGTTTTCATGGAAGATGACAATTGAATATCGTGCAGGAGCGAAGATATTTGTGTAGCTTTCAGGGACGATGACATCTGGGTCTTAGTCAGTGGCGATGACATTTGTGTATCATTCAGGGCCTATCTTGTGATGCACGACTACGTTACATCCCCTACCTTGTGATACACATCCAAATAGCATCGCCTATCATGTGTCGCAATACAAGTTTTAACACCTGTTCTGTAATACACATCGTGTTAACATCCCCTATCGTGTGACACATTACAAGTTTCAACGCCTGTTCATGACACACATGCTAGTAACAGCGTCTTACCTGTGATTCACATCCAAATAATATCGCCTATCATGTAAGACACGTCATAGTAACGTCGAACACCTCTATCATAATGATAATCCCTCCTGTATATGTGGTTACAATAATGAAGATGTGAGTCACTTCTTTCTGCATTGCCCTAGATATATGACTCAAAGACAAAATATGTTAATATCTGTCTCATTTACAGCTTTACATAAACTTAAATTTACGCTTAAACTTGGACCTAAACATTTATGAACATCTTATGTTTAATATAAATATATATTGACTAAAGGAAGTATAGTTTCCTTAGTGAATATCTTAACTCTGCTATTCGTGTTTGTGTTCAGAGATATATAGAATCAACCAACAGATTTTGAAATATCTTATGTATGCATGTATATATGTATGTATGTATATGTGTATGTATGCACGCATGCATGTATGTATGTATGCATGCATGTTTGTTTGTATGTATGTATGTATGTATGTATGTATGTATGTATGTATGTATGTATGTATGTATGTGTGTGTGTGTGTGTGTGTGTGTGTGTGTGTGTGTGTGCGTGCACGCATGCATGTATGTATGTATGAGTGTATGTATGTGTGTACATGTATGTGTGCATGCATGTGTGTATGTATGGTGTTTCTTATCATCATTGGCACTGATCTAATTATTATGTTCCTAAAGCATGTTCATTATGTAAATATTCATAGTTCATTATATTGCTATTGTTCGAGATTTACCTCCTAGGAGAGGGCTTGTATAGGCTTTGCCTGTTGCCCAATTCCTATTAAATCTGATTGATTTAATAAAATATTTTGTTATGAAAAATCCTCTATCATGTGGCACAGATCCCAGTAGCATCACCTATCCTGTAATACACACCCAATACAACATCGCATATCTCGTAAGACACGTATGGTGGCTGATTTCGGCTATATAGCATTTTCACATTATCGGGAGCGACAAGGCGACAAAATTAACCCGACAGTGCGATAACGCGACAAAAGCACCCCGTCAACGTGTCTGTTGCGTTGTCCGCGTTGTCGTATTGATGCATAGTCGCGTAATCACGTTCCGATTGTATATATTCTGTCTTCCATTTGCAATGATTTGCTTAAAGGAGCAAGGTAAGTTCGTACCTTATTTTGGCCATAAGAGTTGTTCTGCAAAGTGTTTTGATTGTGTTTTTAAAATCAATTCCACTATGCTACATTATTCGCGATAATTCGACAACGCGACAAAATTACCCCGACAACGTGACAAAATTAAGGCGTCAATTCGTAAAACGCGAGATGAACGAAATCAGCCACCATACCTATACCGCATACAGAGCGGGTAGGAGCGACGGACACCAACACCAATTAACTGAATATGTCGACCCTTGTATTGCTACACCGGTGTGGCTAGCATATACGGCTGAACTCGTCCTCTGTGCTCTTTTGTAGTCCGGGTCATGCTCAAGTTGTAAAGGGCTGGTCATAATCATACAGAACATTTTGATAGTTAAATTTTACAATTTGATTAAACCTGCCTATTGTGTAGGGCTTTTCAAATAATTAAATGTGTGTTTGGATTTTAATGATATGTAAAATTAGATTGTATGTGGACTGTGTTTAAGTAAATGGTATGTATCGTGTATATAAAACGATCACCCGGCTCAAAGATAATATATTCATATAGATGTTACAGGACAGTCAGTCCCAATGCACCTCATTTAAATATAGGGCCCTCCAAAGTCAAACTTTTCCCGAATAATACAGGCATACGGTGTAAATCTATTATCCGAAACTTCCAAAAATGTGTTAAACGCATTTTTTATAATTATTATTAACATTATGTCATTTTCTATTTTCTGTGTCCTGCTAATAATACTAGCAGATATACTGGCTAAGTGTAGTACCCTATAGGTAATCGGCGTCCAGATTTGCTAAAATACATGTGGTCACCGTGTTAAACCAAATAGCCAATCTGATTTTGATTAAAGACAAGTGCTTGATTTTAGAACACCCCCCCCNGGTTTGACCATTTATACATGTAGCTATTTCGGGTATAAATCCTAACGGACATGCAAATGTTTATTCAGGCCCTGCAAGGCTTTGTCAAGGCTCGCCTGAAAGCAGCATCATATTTCTAGGTCCTTATTTAATAAACGAATAACTATGGTCCGACTGGTTTGGCCGTTTAAACGAAAACGACCCAATTACAAGTACGCTAACCACTCGGCCAGGCCACCACGGCCTCAGGTCAAGCGGAAAATCAGATAGGAAACGGCGTCTATATACCGGTATAGCGTGTAACATGTGGTTGTTATGTTTTAGTGTACGTCTGTATGAGTAGTAATGCATCTCCTACAAACAGCGCACATTTCCGGTGGCAGGAACTGAACGACACATCTCTGCACTTAAACGATGGCGTCAAAATCAAGTTCAAGCAGGTAAGAGTTTCTTTGTTGGTTTGTATGTTTGTTATTGATCTTTAGGGAGTGGGAATAGTTATACTTCCACATTAAAGCCATTTTGGTCTCTGTGGTGTATAACATATAGATAGATACTTGGTTTGGTTTAGCATTGTTTAACGTCCTATCAACAGGTATGGTCATTTAAGGACGGCCTCCACTATGTGTAAGATGCATGTAGTGTATGCATGTGTGTTTTTGGGGGGCCAAAATGGGTTATTTGGCTGTATTGCTGTTAGCTATTTCTTCTCTAGAACTAAAAGATGGATATCAACCATATTTGACTGGAAACATCCCTAGATTGTGGGGATTAAAAATTGTACAAATGGTTGGACTGACCCCCAGGGGCTGAGGGGCGGGGCCAAAAAGGGGTGATTTGGCTATATTGCTATAAACGACTTCTTCTGTAGAACTATGCACTGGATATCAATCATATTTGCTTGGAAGCATTCATGGAAGCTACGGATTCAAAATTGTACAAATGGTAGGACTGGCCCCCCGGGCTAAGGGGTGGGGCCAAAACTAATTTATTACTTGGAGCTCTGGAGTCTGGCCCCACCCTTGGAGACATAGTCCCTGGGTCATAACTTTGAAATGGTTGAGATCCCCACTCCAAAACTATATATACAACTGTTGGGCATAAAGAGACGAATGCAGTCATGATATTATAATTGACCCCGGGGTCTGTCCCACCCTTGCAGACTTAACCCCAGGGTCATAACTTTGAAATGGTTTTGATCCCCACCCCTAAACTATATATACAATTGCTTGGCATAAAGAGACGAACGCAGTCATGATATTAGAATAGACCATGGGGTCTGACCAATCCCCTAGGGACCTAGTTTCTGAGTCACAGCTTGGAAACAGTTGAAATCCCCACCCAATAACCATACATACAATTGCTGAGTATAAAGAGACGAATGCACATCTGCTTCCAGGATGGCCCCGGGGTCTGCCCCACCCTTGGAGTCTTAACCCCTTGGTCATCACTTCGAAACGGCTAAGATCCCAACCCCAAAATTATATATACAATTGTTGGGCATAAAACAATATAAACTTTATTTATTTTACAACAATTATTAAAACAAGTTATGTCAACTTCTATTAATCACTCTTGTTGGCCCGGATGTTAGCGCGCGGTTGGTCTTAGTGTTGGAGGAAACCGGAGTACCCAGAGAAAACCCACGTGGTCGGGCAGGTGACCCCATTCCTTTTCACGCCCGATCGGAGAATTGAACCCCGGCCGCCTTGGTAAAAGGCAAGTGCGCTATCCAGTGTACCACCCGACTACTTTAAATTGGTTGTGATCCACACCCCAAAACTATATTTACAATTGCTGGGCATAAAGAGACGAACGCAGTCATGGTATTATAATAGACCCTGGGGTCTAGCCGAGCCCCTAGATACCTAGTTTATGAGTCACAGCTTGGAAACAGTTGAAATCCCGACCGCATAACCATACATAAAATTGCTGGACATGAAACATCTGATAAAGGTATGCTACATTGATTGGCCTCGGGGTCTGGCCCATTCCCTTGATCTTATTTGAGAATATTTTGCCATGATTATTTAGATATCCAGTTGAGCGATACAGGCCCTCTGGGCCTCTTGTTGTAAACATATAAAGGAACAGGTGTCTATATTAAAGCTAGCAGGGGTGGAGATCAGGGCCTTGATGGTCTTCATTTCTCCCTCAATGCTTCCCAATCTATTCTCTAGCTTTATATATTGAACTGTACAATTAAAATTTGAACATGTAAAATAATGGTTTGTCTTATGTATATTGGTTTCAATTTTATTCATATCACGTCTTCAACATGGTAATTGAACATAAGACCTTTTTATAAAACTCTGTGAAATTGATTTTTCTTGAAAGGACCGACTATATTATATGAAGCAATTCCCTGTTATATTCCCGAGCCCCCCTATGATTCCTAGGGATCTGACCCCATCTCCTACTGGGTTCACGTATTATGCTTATGGGAAAATCATCCTTAACATAGGTCACAAATGTGTACATCTTTCAATTCTCCCAATCTGTCCCTTAAAAAACTGCACATGTATACCAAAGTTCACTGGAATCTAGCACCCTGAAAGTGGGTCCTTCTAAAACTCTGTTCTCTACACCCGGTGACCTAAACTTAGACCTACTTACATTCAAATCTTCAATAACCTCGTGCTTGTTAAGAGCACTGAAGCTATCCATTTGCTTTACTCTAAGTGCTTAAAGTTATACCCTCACGATGAGAGTCTACATGACAATATGCCTCAGATATGAAACAAAACTTGGTATAAAACATTCCTCTGTTTTAACCTCGTTCTTTATCGTGTTCCCTAGTCATAATAAAATTGGGACACACAGACATACACTCTGGGTGCATCCACTTCACATTATCTTTTTCCCAGCATGTGGCACATATGTGCAGCAAACGCCTCTTCATTCCTTTTATCTCTTCCTCGTGGTGTCACGACTCGGAACATTTGTTCTTTCGGTACATAACGCAGAACCACACTCGTCCGCTGTCACTCACATTCTGACACTTGTAGTCTTTTTTACTTGAACGTTTTGCTTTCGAATCTTGTTTTAACACATGCTTGGCCAGTATTGGTTGATCTTTCTTAACCACGCAGCTTACCATGCCAACAGGGCCTTGCATTCTTAAATATTGTAATAGTAAGTGATTGTCATTAACAATGTTGCTCTGCCGGCCATGTCTTCCGTAGTAGAAGCTCAATCCTGATTTTGAGGCCTTTTTAGATCTATGTCTAGTGTCTATACTCTCACAGTACAGGTCGGGATCATCCGAACTTGAATTTTCTCTTTCTGTGTATTTGCCCCTTCTCTTTATTAAGTTATTTAGCCTCCTGTCCGCTCTATCTATCATATCGTCCATCCTTATGAGCTTGGTATGATCGAGTTCACTTTGAACGGCTCACCTGTTTTCGGCTTCGCTTTGTTTTCTTTTTCTCCTGGTTCTGTCACCTAAAAATCTCCGCTTCTCTCTTGAATCCTCTTCTTTCCCGAGCGAGCAGAGCTCCTTTCTGAAGGTGTCCATCTCCCGCTCTCTGTCTCTGAGATATCATTTCGCTTTCTCCTTCTCTATTTACTCCTGCAACAATCAAACTACGCCATTCGCATCAGCTATGCATTTGCCGTCAAGGACGCTTGAATGTGTCCGTCGTAAGACGTCTTCGATCTCTAGGGCATTGCCCGTCGTTTTTGAGACTGACTTTCTCATATTTTCACCATCATTAAGTGCTGTCGAGAATGAGCTTTAACTCCGAGCTTTGTAATCTTTTCTTGACCTATTTCTCGTCTCGTAAGACATATGCAGTTCCCTTGACTAGTGAGTAGGGCGCTTGAGGTTTTCAATCGTAACAAACTTGCTCTCGGTTTTGCCTAGAATAAGTTTATCAACTATACCTCTCTGGGCTTCGTCAGTTGTTTATATGTTCAGAATCGTAATCGTTAATCGAACTCTAATCTATATGTAAATACGGCAACGCCCTCGTTCGAGTACTCTGTGCAGCGTGCTCGTCAGTGCAGGTTGTTTAAACGGTGTTCTAATAGGTGCATGGCTACTGGGCTGGCAGTAGTAAAGTGAAATAAATAGGTAGCGATACATCGTTTATATGGTATTTAATTTGTAGACAGTTACGTTTCAGGTTAAAATATAAAATAAGTTAAAACAGGGGTGGATTGCTACGTACTGCAGTCCATGTTCCACGAGTGTACAAACTAACATTTTACACAAGAGAACCCGGATGACGGGCAGTTATTCCGGAATTGCTACTATATGTTATAAGTGTTACATTTTATTTCATATTTACTTCATTATATCACCAGTATTAGCCATATCCACAACACTGTTATTCTAACTTTGTATTGGAATTTGAAGTTGATATTTAATAAATGATATAATGTACAAGTATTGCTTAACTTGACTATTCTTTATATTTGACTATTTTTAATATACACTGCTATATTGTATAATTACATTATGTGTATTGTGTGCTTGATAAATGTTATGTACAGGCGATATATTGATGGATTCTACTTCTTACCATGCATGTAATACTGCTTGTTTTTATTTTGAAATGTGATATTTTGTATTGGAATTTCGGTATACATCTAACTTGTCTTGCATTTGGTGGCTTAACAAGTGTACAAAAGTAATGTAATGTATAAGTATTGATCAATTTGACGAACCAATCAGGCCCGGTGTAACAAAATATGCCTTGCCGCACGTAAATAAAATATGCTGATATAATATGATAAATAGATAACTGATACTAGGGGCATGTAAAGTACCGTAGTACAGCTTGTCAAATGCTGTATGAACTAACAATGGAAAATAATTATAAGTAGTTGGGTCTGGCTATGGGGCCATCAATGGATAGACAGTGACCTCAATGGCTCACCAGCCGGGAAGTATAGCGAAGGTATTGTGTTGGTGGGAGAGTTAGTATCTTTAAATTTACCGTTTATAAGTGCCTGGCTATTGGGCAATCAACTAACGGACAGTGACCCCCAGTAAAAAAACAGTTCCCGACATACTGAACAGAAATCCATCTCTCTGTTAATATTAGTGTATGGAGTTAAGTGGATTATGGATACAGAAACTCAACTGCCTACATCTGCACAAACTTGTAATTAGAGATAGCTACAATTGACTGACATAGTTCGTGTTGACCAGAACAGAGATTCACACCCCGGCTAATTTGGAACATGGGATTGAAGGATAAATAGACATTTCTCATTTTGATGCAGACCTAGCACGGAGCCAGAGACGGACATTGAGAGTAGTAAATAAACGGAACATCTGAAAATTATTTTTCATTCCATCTGTATTAAGGATTCCTGTGCTCCTGTTTGCGACAAAACATTAAAGAAGTATCTTTTAGTGTTCCTTAACTAACAGTTACCAGTTACACCCCCTGATTTTCATAACAACTTCTCCTGGCTGATTTCACCTAAC